GTCGTTTTTTATCAATGCTGCACAATGTCATAAAAATATTCTCGGTTAATTTAGCCAATAAATTCAAAACAAAAGCATTATCTTCTACAAATGCCCTTGGAAAAATGTTAACACAGCAATTTTCAGGCAACCAACAAGAAGTTTTTCAACTTCCTACCAACATCCCAAAAACCATTTTATTTATTCCTCAGACTTGTTTCAGTTGGAACGCCTAACTGATTATTAGCACATGACAAATAACATTGTAGCCTTTACCTTGTGATTCTTTACATAAAAAATCTACTTAACTTTAATACTGAATTTTTTTAAAGCAACTTTGCTCAATAATTTTGGGAAGAAAACTTGAAACATTGTGTTTGGAATTACCTTTGAGAATAATAATTTTGGTACCTTGAACAGTAAACATGTACTGAATTTCAACATAACTATGGTTAATTATTGTTTTTTGTCTTAGTGAATGACAAAAATCGATCTATGTCCTCAACAAATTCGCTAGACCCATATTCGTTGAAATTTGTTCGACTCACCGTAAGCTGTAGTTTCAGAACTATCACAAACAGCTACAGCCTGAATAAACCCACATGATCTGTTAGTGTTTACAATTTCAGCTCATAAAAAATTACCCTAATGGAATAATGACCTAATGTGGTTAATAATGAACAGTATTTGATCTTCAGATTCGAAGAATTACGGACTCATAATATGAGGTCAAACCATCAATGACCGATGTGATGTCAAATCGGTTATAACATTTATTTTTTTATTTTATTATGCTCTTATCAATGTGAATGTGAATAAGACATAAAAAACATAATCTCAAATAATAGTCCTAAACATTTTGGATCACTACTCTTCAAGCTTATCGCATTAGATATAACTTGTTCTTGTCTTGTCAAAAACACTTCATAACTTATATAATTGTGAAATCGAATATTAGGATATAACTCACCTTTCTAGGGTTTTTTACTTTTCCTTGAAAAACGAATGATTTCTTTACATCATCTTGACTATTATGAGATATCCCAAGGTTTCTACTAACTGTTTCGTCATAAGCTGATAAAAGGGAATAAAAGTCAGCAGCTCGAAAAGAAGTGCGGTAACTGGGGTTTTTGTCATAAACATTTATCATCCTCAGACATTGAAAGCATATAACAACAGTTAAAAACGCTCATACCGCAGATAAGTAATAAAAACAAACAACTCAACAATAGCGAAGGTAGTGTTAAAAATGTACAATTGAACAAAGATGTTTCATTTGCGTCGAGATTATTAATCTATTTTCAACAAATGTGACTAGCTTCAAGTATTTAAAGCAATAAACCATCAAGCTTATTTCGATATTATTATGTATAACAATTCGATCGACCAATGTCTGAAAATTATCTCTTTAGTGAGGCACAAAGGCAACATTTATATTATCAAAACAAGGCTGTGAGCCACGCAGTGTAGGAATAAGTAGGGTTCGTAGATATATTCAGTCTCCTTCATGGTTGCAAAGGCTCGAAATGTTCCATTTAAAATTGTGTAGAGCTGTAAATAAATCCCCAAAATAAATAATTCTGTAAGTTTTCAACATTGGTGATGACCTCATTGGTTTGACTGGACACACCCTAACTGAAGGCACTTGGTCACTCATCTCAACCAGATCACGAGTGCGTACGCCGAGCTATACATCCCTTTCAACTACTAGCCAGCCTAGACCAATCGCTTCTCGACGTATCGATACCTTTCCAAGTATGTCTTTGAACCCATTCGTTTCTGAATTCTGATTTGATTGGGATGGTATACTTCGATTATAAATGTATTACGTTTAAAAAGCGTTGTCGAGCCCCAAATATTTGCGGCATCATGAGTGGTGAGCTCGACGCGATCTAGTACGCCAAACAATAAAATATGAGTCTGTTCGTTGTTGTAAGATAATATACCATACTTTAATTTTCGTTTTATACATCTACAGATATTGTTATTGCATTCTTGGGATATGTTTTTCACCCATTTAAGTATTTTATTTTCATTGGGACGGAAGAGATGCCACAGGTATTTGGAGTTTGACAACACCTTCTAATATGAATCGTACCCACCAAGAGAAATCAAAAGACAGAAGCGAGGAGGTTCGAAGATTTATTTGATGGCTATCAATATATCGACGATCGTCTGATCTAATCTGGCTAGCGATCGCAGTAGATTTTGAGCACGGCGTTCCCACACGTGATCTCGTGCGGATGCATGACCGGGCGCCTTCAGCTAGATGAGTCCACAAAAACTAATGTGGTCAGCATCCAATGTCGAAAACTTACAGAGGTATTTATTTTGTGGATTTATTTGGCGCTACAGATCACTCCCCCCTAGTGGGGTAGTGATGACCCAAAGAAGTGGCCAGCCAGAAGTTTAAACTCAACGAGTTTTGTCGTTGGTAAACACTCTTCTGATAGCTTGCTAGATTTAACAGCGTCTGGTCGTCTTTCCTTACTATAAGGGACTATGAAATACAATATAGTAAGAAAATAATGTACAATAAAAATTTCCGTTCATCGTAAACCTCATCGTTCTTTTTATCGTCTTTTCCAGTCGTCCTGGAAAAGAAAAAAGGAATATGTAAGCGCATGTTGAAATAAACTCGTATGCGCTTTAAGACACAAAATGGGCGAAAAAAAGTTAATAACGTAAAAGCGATTTTTACAAGATGTTTTTTGTTTGTTTATTTCAAAAAATTTTTAATATACATTTTAGCCAAATGATAAATACATATAAATATAACCATATTAAAAACTTTATATTATATATAATGCCATGGAAAATCGAGATGAAACAAAATGTTAACTAGTGTCTTACATGCAATAGTCATTTAAATGTTCTTGGAGTCTTACTCTTCTTCCAGAATGTGTTGTTTTAAGTTCATTTTCAGATACTGTCGAAGTATCATTGTGTGTGTTGATTGTCGGATGAGGTATTATAAGCGTCGGAGTCGTTTCGTTCGATTGTACCGAAGGAAAATCAACGTAGATAGTATTTCCTTCTAAATACACTGCTTTGAGACGATCGATGCTGATGCTATCGTTGGTTCCGTTCTTATCGATTATATAGTACTTCGGTTCGCGTTGAAGAACTTTGAAAGGTTCATCGTATGCTGATTCGAATGGTCGTCGATGCGAGTCTCGACGAACGAAAATGTGTGCACTATATCGTTAGTCAGGTTGAACGAAAACATCAGTTGATTAGGGTCGAGTGGAAGCAGATACAACTGAACGCATTGCGTTTGTAAGCCTATCCGTGTAGGAAGTTAGATCTATGCTCATTGAAAAGGATGAAGGATCCACGAATTCCCTTGGAAAACGAAGTGTCGTTCCATAAACGAGTTCAGCCGCAGAGTATCCAATGTTAGCTTTGATTGCATTGCGAAGACCTAGTAAGACGAGTGGAAGAGCGTCGGTCCACTGTGAAACGCTTGCAGCTGATAGTGAAGCTTTTAATTGTCGGTGAAAGCGTTCTGCCAACCCGTTTGCTTGTGGGTGGTAGGTGATCGTTTGGAAGCGAGTGATTCCAAAAAGTGTGGTCAGACGACGGAAAAATTCGGATTCAAACTGACGTCCGCTGTCTGCAGTGATGGTTGAAGGGCAGCCAAAGTTTGCTACCCATCGTTCGACGAAGGAGCGGGCCACTGTTTCGGCAGTGATGTACTTGATAGGTACTGTTTCTGGCCGTCTAGTGATACGGTCAACGCAGGTTAAGAGATAAAAGTATCCATTTGAATCTTGTAAAGGTCCTACTAAATCCAGATGAACTTAGTCGAATCGAGCATCGGGAGTTTTAAATGAGTCTAAGGGACATTTATTGTGTCTGATGACCTTAGATTTTTGGCAGCTTACACAGGAGAGTGCCCACTATCTCACGTCTTTATTCATGTCTGGCCAGCTAAACCGTTCTGCTATAAGCTTGATGGTTGCACGAACACCTGGATAAGAAGACGTTGCGTCGATAATGTTTCGGCACGATTGGGCGATCCTTACCTGTAGATGTGTCACAAAGTAAGGTTTCCTTACCTGTCCTCATCTGTTTGATGCATAGCTTGAGTGATGTAAACGATAACTCGTGCTGAAGATCAGTGTATTCTTTTTGAAGCTGAGAGGGTTTAAGAAGGTTGATTCCTTAGAAATTGTTCAAGGAATTCATGCGAGACAAGGCGGTCACGCACTCGTGATGTGGTGGAGATGAGTGACCAAGTGCCTTCAGCTAGGGTGTGTCCAGTCGAACCAATGAGGTCAGCATCAATGTTGACAACTTACAGAACTATTTTTCAAGGATTTATTTTCCACTACAAAGTATTCACCTGTTGGCACAACCTCCGTATTTCTCACCTTCGTTAAGAATGATATGACGTTTCCGTAACGTTCATAATTAAAAGTGAAGAATATTGAATAAATTATATACATATCGCCTTTATCTGGTAGCTCTTTAAATACCGACAGTGATCTTAAGTGCGGTCTAGGGATTCATGACCATAATATATCATGATGCTCGTAATTCCCTCTACTCGATCTTGCCGCAGCTACGTTTCAGTAGTAAATTACACTTATGATGGTACCAACTCAAGTTAGAACACGAAGGAGCTTTCACAAAACTCGTGCAAACGTTTTCGTTGTTCGTATAAGGAATTTATGAAACCCGCTACCAAGAGTTATAGTGAAAAATTTTCCTGCTTATACTGTCATAAGAGGGCCTTACAGTTACTTTAGCTCTGTTGGTACTACGGGCAATTAGTTTAATTTTTACCCCTCGACCACCTGTATAATTAATTGTTTTACCCCTGAGTTTACAGAAAGAGTACAATAAAATTCACACTTCTTTACAACCAAGAACGTCTTCCTATTACCCAGATGAATACCCGAAGAAACAAGCAGTTCACAATTTCTTCCAAACATAGTCGTGCTTGAGGAAAATTGAATATTGAAATCAGATCAGCTGGTGTTGTTTAATTCTCGGACTTAGCAAACAGCTGAGTTATGGATGATGAGTACGACGTTGTTGTTTTAGGAACAGGTTTAAAAGTAATGTCACTTTTATATTTTTAACGTCGTCGATTTTCATAAGGAATGTATACTTAGCAGCCTAATGTCTATGGAAGGGAAAAAAGTCCTCCATATTGATAAGAACAGTTACTACGGTGGTGATATCACATCCGTAAATATTGACTCCCTGTTCCAGTACTTTAACGTTGAGACAGACATTTCTAAGTATCATCGTGCTAAAGACTGGAATGTTGATCTGGTTTCGAAGTTTCTAATGGCGAATGGTACGTAAACCTCCTTTTTGTTAGCATTTGATTACAGGAAAATTGGTTCAAATCCTTGTTCATACTGGCGTGACGCGATACTTGGAGTTTAGAAGTGTAGAAGGAAGTTATGTTTACCATTCAGGTTGTGTCTACAAAGTACCATGTAATGAAAGTGAAGCACTTAGTACAAGTATGATGATGTTCATCATGTTCAGAATTTTGCAGAACTAATGGACCTTTTCGAAAAGCGTCGGTTCAGAAAGTTGTTGGTCTGGTCGATGAATGTTGATGTAGATAATCCGTCTACATGGAACTATGTGTATCCTCCACCAATGGATATTAAAAAGGATACTATTTCTCACGCTTTTAGTAGTTTTAATATCAATAAAGAAACTCAAGTAAGTAATTATTCATTTGCGAGTGTGAATCATCAGTGTTGGTATACTTTTACGGACATATTTTATATAAATGCTCCTCGCCCTTGTTTTTTCAGCTGTTTTGAATTAACGGCTTCCAGTGAATTATTTAAATTTTGATAAGTGAATTATCCTGTAATAAAAGTCTAGTTACTACTGTACATGTTTTTCCATTTAGAATTTTATAGGACATGCAATATGTCTGTTCCAAGATGATTCATACAAAGAAAGTGTCCCTGCTATCGAGGTGATAAGTCGTATGCAACTGTATAGCCAGTCAGTTTGTCGTTTCGGTAAATCGCCATATCTCTATCCCCTCTATGGACTGGGGGAATTGCCTCAAGCGTTTGCTCGCCTGTGCGCTGTGTATGGTGGAACTTATATGCTCAATAAACCGATTGATGAACTAGTGATGGAAAAAGGAAGAGTTGTTGGAGTGAAATCAGATAATAAAATTGCAAAATGTGGTATGGTTATTTGCGATCCAAGTTACGTGCCCACTATGGTGAAAAAAGTTGATCAAGTAAGTCAATCATCTTGAGGTATACTCACAAAATCCTTCGTAACTTGATATGAAAAGCTGAACGTAAGGTTGTTTATTATCAATATATGATTAGCAGAATATGAATAAAACTGGTAACAGTCTGTACTTTTCTGCGGTTATAGACTCCACAATTAAAGTAGTTTGGATTTACAGTGCATAATGTCGTGATCTATGGTATAGTGTCTCGTAACTTTTAGTCATATTGTATTGGGATTAAGACCAAGGCTGCGTGACAGTACAGATTACTGTGGCTAATACAATACTTTCTAGTACTTTCCAACTCGTGTTTTATGTATTAGGATACTATACCGCCTGAAGTAGCTCGAGAAGTCGTCAATTTTTGGTATATGCACGCAATGAGTCACACTAAGAACGTAATTTTAAGGTTTATTCCTCAAATCGATACCATTTTGAAAAATTATGAACCATTTATGAGTAAGGTTACCCTGATTACATTCCTTTTAGGTTGTTCGCGCTATCTGCATTCTAACACATCCTATTGCGGAAGTACAGAACTCTCTATCAACCCAAATTATTATTCCTCAAAGTGAAGTTAGTCGAAAACATGGTAAGTTCATTCAACGTATGCATGTTACATTGTTATATTTTTCTAGATATTTATATTTCATGCGTATCTCATCAGCATAATGCCTGTCCTGAAAATTTCTTTGTGGCACATGTTGCAACAATCGTTGAGACATCTTCTCCAGAGAAAGAGCTCGAACCTGGTTTAGCACTTCTTGGAACCATTGAGCAAGTGTTTTATTCTGTACAGGATCTTTTTGTGCCAACAGATGATGGTCGTGAATCTCGGGTATGATTATTGCTTATGTAAATTAAAATTTTACCATGTTTTCTCGCAATAAGAAGTAATTTTGATACTAGATTACCCCACATATCTACGCTCATCCCATGCAAGATGTTCCTGTTCTTATCATGTCACTTCTCAAACATCTCTTTCAGTTGTTCGAGGTTTCGCGATCCCCCGAAAGTAATCAGATAACCACAACTATTGCTATAGTCTACCCTACTAGTAATTTTCTGTTTAACTCGCTGGACCAAGACTGATATAATTACAATAGCCAGGTTGGAAACTCATGCCTGATGTGCATATGTCGAAAACGTTAATGTTGTGACTTTATGGTCCGCTAGTTATCACATAATCTATTCGCCAATCAAAATACGACTTATTCGCTCTTATACTGTAATAAACCGATGACGTCCGACCGGTCTGATCAGCCTAGCGTCCTATTGGTCCGTTGCTCGTCTAGCCCGTTCAGCTGAGTCCAGAATGCCAATAACAGCCTCCACTATGTGAATCATTTATTTCAGATATACTGGGTTTATATACCAAACAAACAGACCACAACGCACCATAAAATAAAAAATAACACTCCTACAAAATATAACCAAAAGTGGCTGTGAACGTGGAAGACAGTAATTAATAAACTGAGTATAACTTAGGAACAGTAAATCGTGCAATAATAATCTATAGGTCAAAATGAAGCTTATAATAACGGGACTATAAATATATACAATCTAGTTACTAACTAGCTATACCATAAGAACATATAGATTATATTAGTCTGTTAATAGGTCTCAGCCGTTACTCGTAATCCAATCTTCACTAGGATATAACAGTTAACATCTGATGTGAATCAAAATAGCCAAATTCAGTATTATGTACTTATAAAATCAGTACTAACTTATCATCTAAATGCAACATTAATTTTGTTACTTTCGTATGCTCTACAAATTGACAAACATTTTGAAGGTATGATGATTAAATTACTTGTATACCGTATTTCATTTATTTATTTATTTAAACACATAAACATTGGTACGAGGAGGCACCAAATAGATATGCGCCACATAGATTATTCGATTTGCGTGAGTGCTGGGTACTGCGCGGTTGCCCAAACCGAAGCATGATTGATGTTTGTTCCATATAAGTATATTATTATTATTTATTTGAACACATAAATATTGGTACAAGAGAGCGCCAATATATATGCGCCATACGAAACAATGAAAATTCGAAGAGAGATAGAAAAAAATAGAAAAAAAACTAAGGACCACAAAAGGTAGTGTGGTCGTAACGATGGAACAGAAAGGTACAATGAGAAGAAATCTTTCAAGTAAGGGAGACACAACCACTATTATGAAGAAAGTAAAAGAAGGTTACAGCAGGATCGCCACTGGCTTCTATTCTGAGCCATATCTGATAACGTCTTTAGCCACTGTGTAGCACCATCTCTCAGACCCCAACCAGGGAGTCGTGAAGGACCGACAGAAGCCAGTCCTTTGCAGCTTTCTTTCATACCACGACACCATGTCATGCACTGACCACCTCTCCGCTTTTTCCAACCAGTCCCAGAGTCGGCAAACAATGCACGACGTGGAATTCTCTGGGACGACATTCGTAGAACATGTCCAAGCCACCGAAGTCGGTGTTTCAAGATGGTGACACCAATTGAATTATCATCTCTGTGCCCGAACACACGATGCCGAACCTTTGCATTACTGACATGGTGTTGCCACTGAATATCAGCAATCCTTCGGAGACAGCGATGATCGAACACAGAGAGTCGTCTAACGTCCTCAACTCGGAGAGGCCAGGTTTCACAAGCATAGAGCAAAACTGCTCTCACCGACGCGTTGTACATCCGACCTTTTACAGCCAGACTAACATCACGAAGGCGCCAAAGATGGCCCAGATTGGCATAAGCCACTCTGGCAGGACAGTCTGACCGATGTTGCCGGAGCAGCAGGCCAGTTGAACTGCCCTTCGAAAAATTCTGCCCATCGTCCAAGACGTCGATGGATGTTAGTGATTGGCATCCCATCATCCTCGCAGATTGTTTCACTCACACCAGACTTCTTGCTGCCAGTGGCTCGGATGAGCTGGAAGAGCTTCCGGTAGTTACCAGATGCAGCTGCTGCTTCCAGCTCATTAGCACGCTCCGACCACCAGGCTTCTCGGTCCTTATGCAAGCTTTGCCCAATTTCCCTACGTAACATCCTTCGTTTATGGTCAAACTCACGGTCACCCGGAGTGGACCGACGGGCTTCAATGAGTTGTAAGGAACCAGAAGAAACCCAGTGCTTAAAAGCGGGACGTTTCGCGAACCCACAACTGACTGTTCCCGCCATTTTCATGGCGTCAAGCAATTGCGACCAATGCTCATCTATACTTTTCGGTGGGGTGGTAGCTAGCCTAGAGGCTAGCTCGGTTCGATACTTACTTGCAACAGAAGTTGCAACCAACTTGCTGACATCAATCCTTTGATGGTGGTCACTTCGTTGTCCACTGAAAAGTAAGCCAAGATTGGCGCAGACCACGGCATGGTCAGAGTCCAGATAGGTACTCCAAAAGGAGCGGCAGTCTTTTACACAACCACGCCATCGGTAGCTGATCGCGATGTGATCAATCTGAGTCCAGGCTTGGGAGGCAGAGGGAGGACGCCAGGTGGCACATCGGCGATGACTGTGCCGAAAGTTAGTGCTAGCCAGAAACAGGTTGTGGTCTGTGCAAAGTTGCAGTAGACGGTCCCCGTTATCTGACCTGCGACCAACGAGTCCCCATCGGCTACCTAAACGACTCTCTTCTGTGCCTAGACGCCCGACCTGAGCATTCAAGTCTCCAGCTAGTACTACAATATCTGTCGAGCGCACTTTCTGGAGAAGAACAGATAACTGGTGGTAAAACTCATCCTTGATTGCATCCGGGCTGCAATCTGTCGGGGCATAGGCGGAGATGACGAAAAGACATCGTTTCTCACGCCGATTTCTTCTCACTTTGATGGAACTTTCTAATCTAACAGCACATAACCGACTGTTAATGGGGATCCAATCGACTAGTGCTGCCTCAGCTCTAGCGCTTAGTGCGACACCAACGCCAGCAAGACCAAACGAAGATGCCACAGGGTCCCCGGATAAGCGCACGTAAAACAAGCTTTTCAAAGCGACAGATGGAGATCGAATTTGTAGTACTTCGCCAGAGTCTTGAATACGGGTCTCGGATAGACAACAAACATTAATATTAAGACTTTCCAAAGACATAGCCAGTCCTATCTGTTGTCCGACCTGCACTAGTGTGCGAACGTTGAAGGCAGCCAGTTTTGAATGGTGCACGTGGTTTCAGAAAAACTGCTTCAGTTCTCGTAATCTGTGGTAACATACAATTTTCAACCGGACAGTGACTCGAGAACGTTTAGATACAGTCGAATTTCCACCAAAGACGAGCCGCTGTATAAGTATAAAAGAGGGTGAACAATGTGGAAAATAATAATAATAATGACGATAATGGTAATAATAATAATGGTATTAATAATGACAATAATAGTAATAATTATTTGAATCGATTGAATGTTGATCGGAGCGAGGAAATTAGTTGCCATAGTCATAGAGTTCATGGTTTGTGTGTGGGCTGTGATACTGCCCGGGTGCCCAAACCGAAGCAGGTGGTTATCTTAGGGGGCCACACCCCGAGCCTTTGACCTAATGGTCTAACCCACAAGGCAGTGGAGCATCGTAAGGAGATGCAATCCCATGGTAGCCGGTGACCAACGATTGGTTCATACGCCATTTGTTCCCGCAGGATACTGGAGCCCATGTGCACCATTGGTTTGTGATCCGGTTAAAGCGCCGGACGTTCGCTTTTCGTCCTCTCATTTTCGTAAACAACACCCCCGCCACGAGAAGGCAATGAGTAGGACTTCCCTGGCAGAGGCTGTATACGCGCGGCCGTGTGAGAGTATTTCGAGAGGGAGAGCGGACTCTCCCCACTCTCGGCCGTACCAGGGCGTTCGGGGGCATATAAGTAGGTGTAACCAATTAGAAGTTTGACGAGAACATAATAATTTTAACCAGTTATATATATCACCTTCAAGAACTGTTGTATAAGTAGCATTTTCAAATTAAAACAATTTGTCAATTATTCTTATAAATTGTTTAAGATGGCTTTTAAAATTATTTTGAATACTTTAAACCATGTTATGATTTTCAAGTGTCCGTACAAGATACTTATTAGTTTATATTTACCTTAGTTTTGAATAGATGTTTTCTGACAACTTGAGAAAATAAGCATAATTTTAGTTTGGTTGTTTGTATCGTTGTATCTGTAAATGGGTTTGTTTACTGTTTATTATCAACAAACTGTTCAATGCTTCTCTTGAGATTGCATGGCTGTGTATATTGTTTTTTTCGTGTAAATGAACTTTCTTATTTGTGTTATCATACAAGATTTACTCTGTTCAAGCCACTTTTTAGTGACATTAATTAGTACATAAATTCTAAGATTCGTTTTGAACGCAAGTGAACAATACAATCCGAGAATAATGCAGGTTTTCTTAGTCAAACTCAGGTTGTATTCTAAAAACTTATGATAACTGACGATGACGTTTACGTTAAACTCTAACTGAATTGGAGGCATACGTTCCTACATTGTTGAGAAATTTTTAGTCTAAAACAAGTTTTTTTTTCCTTTTTTCAGGTTTTCATTTCGTCAAGCTATGATGCTTCTACACATTTTGAGTCTACTTGTGCTGATGTTTTAGATTTATATGAACGTATAGTTGGAAAACCGTTTGAACTTAGTAAATTAAAAAGGTATGAAGAAGTGAATGAATAACTAGGTTTCTGAAAAGTTGTCTTCATGATAAAAATCTGATTATCCTTCTATGAAACAGATATGTTATTTTCTGTTGTCCACGTATTTATTCATCGTTGTCAGTTGTGTGATATATAATCTTACAATCGCAATCCGAATATATCTGTATGCTTTGATTTGTTTGTCAGTGGCATATTATTCAATTTAACAACACTTTTCTGAATACTTTACATTCTTTTAGGTTTTTCAAGCTGATTTATTTTTCATTCCTTATTTGACTTTCAGGTTGAAATTTCAATGTGATATGCTTTCTTTTTAATCTATTTTTCAATTGCATAACTTTTTGCTTTAAGTACATAACTAACATATTTTACTTCACTGATTCTCTTCTCTGATCATTTTCTCTTTATATATATATTCAATATATATGTTTTTTGTTTCAACTGACTTCCCAATCTAACGATATCAATGTATCTCCGGTGTTCAAATTGAAGTGTGTGATTGTTTTAGTTTATTATGGTTCCATCCAACTCATTGAAGATGTGATTTCATTTGTGTGTTTCTCAATTTATAGTGTGATTTTTCGCTTAATAATAGTTTTAAGTTGAATTATAATCACCTATGTTCTTTCTACTCGACCTGACTTAATAATACTTCCTGTGATAATAATCTACGCGCGATCATTTAATAATTCAGTAATCTAGTCATAATGTGTATTCCTTTCATCCCATCACTTATCTTTAACTGTGTTAACCAATTTAGTTTTAACTAACACATTCGATCTGTTATATGACAGTTATCTGTAAACTGTATATTATCCTAACAAATAGATAGGTACATGTCTTTTAAAAAATCCAAATGGATAAATTGTCATCTCAGATATAACTAGGTTTTATTCACTTACTGGACGGTTTAAATCAGTTGTGTGCTTACTTATCTGTAGATCTTGCGAGCTAAGTAATTTAGTTAGCATCCTCATCAAGTCATTCCCTCTTATAATACATTTGTACATAAAGCAAATTTCTATTCGTTTTGATTTCGCATTTCTTCACTCGCCGAATGTGGTGGATGTGTTGTACTCTAGTATAGGAGTCTATTGCCAAAAGACCAGAAGAAGGTGGATCAAAACATTTGATCAGTTCATGAGATCATTGGGTGCTATGTTAAAGTTCGCAGAATTTCGATTTAGGAGGACCTAGAATGAGTAAAGTATAAATATTTATATTCCACCTGTGCCATGTCCAGTTAATGATCGAGTAGTGTGCGGTATAGAAGGTTGTAGTATCTAACGGGAGATAATATTCATTAATGAGAAGTCGAAATGTTTGAGTCCCGTAACGTAATTAAAAAATCTAGACATGTGTTGCACATTCCACTTATTCTTAAAAATTACTATATAAGTATACAACCAAAAACTGTGACTCATATAAGCACTTCTAATATTATCGGTTCTAAGGATTTGGTTTTTAATCGAGCTCTTTCAAACGTTCAAGGGAATCTTAAGACAATTTCTTCAGATAACCTGGCCATATCTTATTCAGGATGAAAGTTCGCAGTAGGGAAATCATTCAAATTAAGATGCCTTGTCTCTTCTGTCACCATAACCTCATATGTTCTCAGTAAGTGGCTTCAAATTTCTGAGGGGTCTGCTAAAGACGTTTATTCTTATCAGGTAAGGTGAACAATAAGGTCAGGGAGAAATACTGGATCTCAGCAGCACCTACCGCACTGGTAGATGCTCGATAACTCATCCCATCTGGCTCTGAACATGACGAAGAGCAGAGTCAGCTTAAGCGCAAACTGATAAGAAGCCTACGCAATGATCGTAAACAGTGGCGGGTAGCGAAAGCAAGAGAGATGGAAAAGGCAGCGGCAATTGGTAACGGCAGACAACTGTTCAGACTTATTAAGGGAACCGGTATTAGGAAACCGACTGTTAGCGAAACCATCTCGAAAAAAAGATGGATGTATTATACATTCTCAATCCAGGAGATGGGATCGATGGGCAGAACACTTTAGGGATAAGTTCAACTGGCCTTCAGCCACACTTCGGTTTCCCACGATCTCCAGTCAACCTAGATGGCAAGTTAATGTAGGTCCTCCGTCTCTTTACGAACTTGAAGAAGCTATAGGAAATCTGAAGCGAGGGAGGCCAGCAGGCCCTGACAGGTTTACCCCTGAGGTTTTTAAGGATGGTGGCCCAGTATTAGCAGTGAGATTAACCGAGGTCTTAGGTAGAATTTTGGAACTGAATGTAATCCCATCTGACTGGTCTCAGTGACTGATTGTGCTAGTCTATAAGAAAGGACAAAAGTCCTCTTGTGACAATCACAGAGGAATCAGTTTGACTAATATAGTGTCTAAAATATTAGCTTCAATAATACTTCGACGCCTAACCAAAGCTCGTGAAGAGCAGACTAGAGAAAATCAGGTTGGTTTTCGACCTGGACGTGGTTGTATAGACCAGATATTCACACCACATCAGGTTTTAGAACACAGACACACATTCAGACGCCCCACAATGGTAGTATTTCTCGACCTTAAGGCGGCATTCGACTCCGTTGATCGTGAGGTTCTATGGCAGTGTTTGTCACTGAAAGGAGTACCAAAGAAGTACATTAACCTTATTCAGGCTCTCTACTCGAACACAACTGATTGAGTGAGAGCTTATGGCGAACTGTCATCATAAGTGATTACATCAAGTGGTGTTCATCAGGATTGGGTGGCATCGTCACCCGAAATAATGATAGGGAGTGAAGTAGTTGAGCATGTCGATCTTTGAAGTCTCATCAGCCCTTGTGGTCTGGTGTGTGACGAAATCTCAGCACGGATACAGAAGGATCGACTAACCTTTGTTAACTTGCGTAATTTATGGCGTAGGCGAGATATCCGTCTATCAACCAGAGGATGGGTCTACTGCGCAGCAGTTCGTTCAGTCCTACTTTATGGCAGTGAAACATGGCCGGTAAGAGTAGAGGATATTCGTAGGCTACTAGTATTTGATCATAGGTGTCTTCGAAACATTGCTTGTATATCATGGGACCATCGAGTAAGTAACACAGTTGTTAGGAAACGGGTACTAGGTGAGGATGGCAAATCAATTGATGAAGTAGTGAAACTTCATCAGTTGAGATGGCTGGGACACGTGTTACGTATGCCCAACGACCGACTGCCTCGACGTGCGATGTTCAGTGGTATAGGAGTAGGTTGGAAGAAAGCTAGAGGCGGCCAGACCAAAACATGGCACAAGTCCATGAAGTCACTGGCAAGTGGTCTGAGTCATGTCGGTAGGTGTAGACTACCTGGTTGCGGACCACGAGATGATAGCAAATGATGGTTAGAGACCCTGAATGACATGGCTCAAAATCGTTTGCAATGGCGCAGGTGCGTCGACTCTTTGTGTTCTCACAATTTTTAATCTCCTAAATCTTTCTTGTCTTTTTTTCCTCTTTCTAAATTTATTTCACTGGATTATACTCTTTCAATAACATCTCCAAACCTTAATCTTTCTGATGACTGCTTATACTCTTACTACCTTTACCACTACGGGATTTGAATGGAGAACTGTATCTCTGTGCTAATGTGGTGTGGCAACTCGAACTGATGTACGTACGTACGAAGTTTCACGTAGTTACTGACTGATTTTGCCCTAGTATGGGGTTTTCGTGGCACCCATTCACAACCCTACCATTGGATTGAGCAAGATGTGAATTTGTATTTTTTGATAGCTATCGTCTTTGTGTTATTATCTAATAATTTACGGATAACAATTTCTGAATATTCTCTTGATGTATAATTCTTTTTCTCTGAAATACTATCCTCACCGATTCTTGAACAAACAATATGTGAATTTGAACTAATTTGATGAAATCGTAATAATCCTATTGTGGTGTGTGCTACTTATATTGGCATAGGTAGTATATAACGCGAGTCAGGAATGTAATGTCTGGCAGCAGAAGATTGCAAAGATCTAGAAAGGAAGAACTGCCTGTTTATCGTGGCCACAGACGAAAGTGACCATGTTGTAGTAGACAAGAACGCGGGTGGGGACAAATGGATGTATTTGGTAAAACAATTACAGTCTATCTCAATAAAATCTGAATACCATATAGTAAATCGTCGATTTGCAAAATATTCATGCATCAAACCAAACTGGACTGTTTCTGTTGCAAACACCAATCCATTGTCTCCCATTCCATTGTTCATGCATTTTCTTACAAATTCCACTGTGTTCTCGCTCTACCTTTCTTGATCTTCGCCATCTTACGTTGCCAGACATTACGTTCTTTTAACGCACGTTATATACTACTTATATCAATATAAGTAGTTCACACCACAATGGTATAGGTGCTGTCTTGAGTCAGTCTAATAGAGTGGTGGAATACGCGAGTCGCGTTCTCACCCCCGCGGAACAGAAGTACTCAAATATCGAAAAGGAGTGTTTAGCAAACGTGTGGACAGTAGACAAATGGAGACGGTACCTTTTAGGCAGACGATTCCACAGTGAGACTGATCATAGACCCCTGCAGTGGTTGAAAACAGCAGGAGAACCCCGAGGGAATTTGGCGTGATCGATGATACGTCTGCAAGAGTACAACTTCAGTATCGGTCATGTTCCAGGAAAGGAAAACGTTATGGCGGACCACTCGTCACCCCATACGCAGTGAATAGTTTAGAGGGAGACCCATTAGAACTCGTCCGGCAGCAGAAAGCTGACCCCTACCTTCGAAAGGTAATCAGAGTGATAAAAGAGGGAGCAGACGTTGACAAACGAACAATGGAAAAGGAGGTGGTAATGCTGTTTGGGCAAAAGGAACGACTGAGAGTGAACGCATATGGAGTCCTGACCTGGCAGGACGATGACGAGAATTGGGTGGCTGTGATCCCGAAAGACTGGCGGCGTAAGATGACACACGACTGTCACCATGTAGCGCATACAGGCATCACAAGAACGACGGATTTACTACGACAAAGTGCGCACTGGCCAGGCATGAGAGACGATGTGGCTCAATGCGTGGTAACTTGCCAGCAGTGTCAAATAATGAAAAGCGATCGATACGCACAACCGCCATTACAGTTAATCCCAATAACCGCAGTCGGTGATCTATGGTAGACGAATGTGATGGGACGGTTTCCACAGACGGCGAGAAGTAACCAGTACCTGTTAGTGATGACGGAACATGATACACGTTGGGTATATGTCGTACCCATTGCAAACCAACGGGCAAAAACAGTGACCGAAGTGGTAATCAGGCATATTGTAGCGTGTCACAGAATACCGAAAATGATATTAACTGGTCAGGGTCCTTGTTTCGAAAG